TGTGTGCGAGGGCTTGTCGAAACTTTAAAGCATTTGTGAGCAGCACTAAGGCAGCAAAACTTCCAGTCAAGACCCGGCTTGTCCTGGGTGAGCCCCTTTTCCTACTCGGGCAAGTTGCAGAGAGCTGGGAGGGCTCCCCAGCGAGCCCAGCACCCCGCAGCTGACTGCCAGCCAAGAACCTCCACCCACAGCCCTGGACAGTCCTATAAAAGCTGTGTCTTCACAGCCCCGGGTGTTTTACAGGATGACCTCATTTATTACCTTGCTCGTCACAGGAAATGATGTTTATCTAATCTACCATTCTTTCAGGATTTTTTTTTTTTTTGCCCTGCCACATCTGGCTTCTTACATTTCTTACGGCTCAATTCCTCCTTGCATCAAAACAAAAGAGAAATGGCACTGCTGCCGTCATGCCAGTGCCCCAGTCCCACCAGCTTGAGAAGAAGCTGAGAAGCTTCAAACTTGGAGCTCCCCTTCGGTGGCCAGTGGATGTAAGGATCTCATCTTAATCTCCCTCCTCTGCCGCATTCCTTAGTAGTGACAGCTACTTCTTGCAGTATTCCGGACTGTGGGCTCTGAGGCACAGCTTTCCATCTGTCTGTCCAGCATCCAGCCAAACAGGTCCACATTCCTGAGCAGAAACGCTAGCATTGCCCCTCAGAGCAGCTCCACAGCCTCGGGTGGGAAGTGGAACAAGTCACAAACATGAGGGAGCAGCCAGCCCCACAAACACAAGGGACAGCGGCAGGACCAGATCCACAAAAATGAGGGACAGTGGCAGCACCAGATCCACAAAAACACGGGACAGTGGCAGCACCAGACCCACAAAAACACGGGACAGTGGCAGCAGCAGCTCCACAAAAACACGGGACAGTGGCAGCAGCAGGTCCCACTGCCCCAGCACGGAGCCCGGCGAGCGCCTGGGTGCCAATGTGAGCCCACACTGGTCACATCCTGCTCTGTCTCTACTCCAGGCTGTAAAATGCCACAGCCAAAACCTGTGCCCACGAGCGGGTGCACCGGCCCCTGTGGCTCCCCCTGTTCCTGCTCCCACAGGGCCCCAGCGCCCTCCTGCCAGCAGGACCCGGGGCTGCTCCCGCACCCCAGCGTGTCCCCAGGTGCCAGGGAAAGAGATTTCTATTTTTCTTTGTAATAGAAAGGCTCTCCCAGAAGCTTTCTGCTGATCCCAAAAGGATGTGAAAGCAATAAAACCCCTCCTTCTTTTACAACCAAGCTGTGGGATTTTTTGCTACTGAGCACAACGACCCAATGCTTGATTTCATAACCAGAAGGTCGCACCCTGCACCAGGAGCTCGGGACTTGCTGAGTCCCCAGTTTTATGTCTAGGGGGGTCTCACAGCCTGACCTGGGCAACTAAACATCAGGGCAGCAGGTGAGCAGAGAAGAAAATTCCTGAGCTGCAAGAGCCCCAACTAAACTTTTTCAGAGCTAATTTTAATGTTTCCCAGTCTAATATCTTCCTGGTCTTATATAAATGCTTGGAAGGGAAAGTAAAATTAATAATGATAATTATAATAATAAACCAAACCATAAACAAAACAACAACAAAAGAAAGGCAAAGAAAACTATTTCTGAAATACTTCTGAAAAAAAGGGAGAATGAACAAATGGGGGTACAAGATATTCATAAATGCTCTGCTGCCCTGTCCGAGGTTTTATCCATTTAATTTCCAAACGAAATCTACCACCACATTTGTCATGACAGCACGGGGGAAAAACTCATCCTCCGTTTTTCAGAGCCATCACATCTCTCCCTGCTCCAGGTGAAACCCCAGCTCGCACACAACCAAACCGAACCCCCTGACCGGGGATTTCTCGGTGCCCTTCATCCCCCGGCACCTCCAGCCCTGGGGATCACCACGGCGACAACGCGCCAGGACCAGTCCCGAGGGCAGCGCTGGAAATGGGGATTTGAACGCCGGTTTCCAGCCGGGATCTGCCTCCCGGGGCTCCCCCCGCTGCCGGCACGGCGGGATGGGGGTCCCGGGGCCAATCCCCGATTTTCCTTCCACTTGTTTCATTCGGGGTTACCTGCAACCAAAGGGTCGGAGCGCTGCGGGCTGGGGAAAACACTGGGAGAGGAGAGAATTGCAATGCACCGCGTCTCCGAGATGCCCACAAAATCCCTGGAATTATATGAACGGCTGGAAGTTTATTTAAGAAGGAAACAGAGGGAAAACAAACACGCAGTCAGGGATGCTCCCGCATAGCGCTCCGAGCTCCGGGCAGCATCTCCCCCGCTCCGGGGCCCGTCCGTGCCGGGGGACATCGGCGATGACCCCCCAGCCGCGGGGGTGGCCCCGAAATCCCGGGATACCGGGGGGACAGGCTGCGGGGACAGCGCGGGGCTGCGGGCTCTTCCCTCCCGTTCCGGGCTCCTTCTGACCGGGACTAAATGCGACTCCAAGGACGGGAGTGAAAAGGGAGGTCTGGGGATTTGGGGCAGGTAATTAATATTTTGTTGAAGCAGGACAACAGTATCTCGGCAACTAATTAGGCGAGATAAATCTGTTTCCACACGCAAAGATTTCTATCAGGTTTCTGTCCGACGGCCATTCCGTCAGGAATTCCAGGATTAATCGGTATTTAGGATCTCGGTGCGATTTAGGACAAAATTGCGCTTTTAAGGTTTACCCTCGCTCCCTTCAGAGAGGGGATCCTCGAGCGCTGCTGCCCAGCCGCTCCCTCCGGCACCTTCTGCCCGGGACCTGCCTCAGATGGCTTTAATTTGATTTTATTTTTCCTGGGGTGTCATTCACCCGCAGGGTCCCGGACTCAGCTCTGGCCCCGCTGGAGCTCCAGAACACAGCTCAAAGTTGACAGAGCCAGCAGAGTGAGAACGACCACATTTTATACATTCTAAAAAATTAAATAAAGCCGAATGTAAAGGAATTTATTCCCCGGGCCGTGTGGAGGGCAGAGGGATTCCCGGCTGCAGCTTCCATAATTCCTCTGATTTCTTTAGAGCTGAACTCGCCTGTTTGGCGAGGGGAAAGGGGAGCGTGGCCATCGGCTCCGGTCCCCGTTGTCCCGGTCCCCGACAGCGGGGTGGGGTGACGGAGCCCCCGGTGCTGCCGCCGCTTCCAGGAAGCTCCGGTGGCTCCGTCCCGCCGCTCCCGGTGTGGCTGCCCAACTACCCCCACTCTTGGCTTTGGATTTATCGATTTCTCCAGCAAACTCGGAGCTTCGCTCTCCAAACACAGGAATAATAATAGAAGAAAATTAAAATAATAAAAAAGAAGGCAAAAAGAGGGACGGTAAAAATATATTAATATTTTAAAAATGTAAAAATACCCAAACATGAAAGGGCATGGAAGAACGAGTCTCCTTGAGCACGGGGGCTGCGGTCGAGCTTTTTGCACCGTTCCTGCCTTCAGCCAGCGATATTTTAATTTTATTTTTCCTTTCTTTTTTTCTTTCCAATACTAAGGGACTAGAGAATCTCCAAGAGCAAAAAACAGGCACTAAACAACGACAAATCCTCCCGAGAGGAGACAAAAAATTCTAGTAATGACACTTTTGGAAAAAGGAGGGGGAAAACCCCAATGAACCACTATAACTCCAACTGAACTTCCAGACAAATATTCCCACTGCGGAGTGTTTCCCGAGCGTTCCGGAGCGCTCCTGCCCGGCCCAAGCCGCGGAGGTAAGGCCGGTGCCGGTTTACGAACCCCTCAGCTTCTTGCAACCATTCCTCACTCCCGGATATTTAATGAAACGCCTCTCCAGCGTTCTGATTAAAGCTCAATTAATGCGGGTCATTAATGTCCCGCTGGCAGCCGCGTGTTCCTAGAACAGCCTTTTCTAGGGGAAGGGGCTGCGGCGCACCAGGAGCGCCGCTCCCCCCGAAACCACCGATGGCAGCTGGGGAAGAACCGCACGGTCGGGCGGCTTTTCGTGCGGTTACCGGGGATCGCCACGGCCCGGACCAGCACCGGGACTGCGGGGCCGTAGCACCCACCGGCCCACGTTACCGAGCCGTGCCGGTGCTGAGGTTCCGTTCGCACCGGGGGTCGGCGGTTAAACGCGAACTTCCCATCCACGTATCTCTGTAAAAAATCGCGGGAAGAAGCCAAGAGCAGCGCTGGAATATTCCATAGTAGGGATCGCCCCGAGCACCGCGCTGGACGTTCCGGGCCCCTCTCCTCACTATCGCAGCGCCCCGGCGGAAGATTTCGTACAGAAATATTTTAGGGAGCCGAGCTGTTCTACCCTCAGGTTCCTTGGGATGTGGGGGACTGGTCAGCGTGCGGGGAAGAACCGGACGCGGGAGACCCCGGGGGTCGAGCGGGACCTCTGCCCGCAGCCCCGTTCCCCGAGCCAGCCCCGGGGGGGGAAGGCTGCTCCTCCCCTCCGGTCCCGGAGCGAAGCCCTGGTTCTGGAGCGGCAGAGGTGGGGCTCCGCAGCCCCGGCTTTTGCCGAGATGGGGCTGCAAGGACGGGCAGCCCCGGCCTCAAAGCCGCGCCACTTCTCGTCTCCGTTAAACGCGTCCTCCCCCCCGGTACCAGTCCCGCCGAACGGGCCCGATCCGCCGCGGTGTGCAGCGGTTCGCGGCCCATGCTGCCTGGCCCGCCGCCGGGCAAGGGGCTCCGATCGGGGTGTGGAGGGACCGGGAGCACCGGGAGATGCTGCCGAGCGCCGCCGGGGCATCCCCGGGCTTTCCACGCAAACCGCCGGTGGGGTGTGCCCCGGGGCTCCCCAACAGCACGGTCCACCCGTCCGGGCCCTTCGGTACCGGGAAGGAGCGGCGGCCGCGGTACCGCCCGAGGGAGAGCAGCGGGCCGGGGGCGGGTGGGCGCGCTGGCCCGCCGGGACCCGCCGCTTTCGTTTTAGTCTCGCCGGGGACAGCAGCGAACCCTTCCCGACGGGCGGGGAGCAGCCCCGCGGGAGGGCGGACGCGGGGGGACCCGACGCTGGGGAGCCCCGAGGGCAGGAGCGGGGCCTGGTCCGGTGGCGCTTTCCGCTGAGCGCTCTTCTTACCTTTCTTGATCACGGACTGATCGAGCAGGTTCATCCCGCCGTCGTCCACGGCCTGAAAGCACCGAGGGAAGAGCCGTCAGCCGGCTCCGGGCACCGGCTGCTCGCGGCGCGGGGACAGCGCGGCCACGGCCCGAAGGAATTCTGAGGGCACGAACGAGCCCCAGCATGGGAATCTCCGGCCCGATGTTTCTGCTTGCACGGGGATACGGACGCCGTGGGGTCCGGCTAGTCCCAGCCTGGAGTCCCCGGTCGCACAGGCAGAGGGATCTGACCCCGTCCCCGCGCAACCATCCCACCCCGGGCACCCTCCCGGTGCTCCCGCCGCCCGCCCGTACCTGGATGTCCTCGAGGCCGTGGTGGCCGAGCCCGTGGAGGCCCAGCGGGCCGTCGGCGAGGCCGTGGCCGCCGTCGGGCAGCCCGTGGAGCAGGCGGGGCACGGCGGGGTAGTCGCGGCGAGGGTCGAGCCCCAGGGCGCGGTGGGTCTGCGAGAGCAGCCCCGGCTCGTCCTGCCGGCCGCGCTGCGGGGGCCAGGCCGGCTGCTGGTGCTGGTGCAGGGGGCTGAGCGCCGCGTACGGGTCCGCCAGGTGAGGGTAAGCGGGTTCCTGGCCCTGCGGGTAGGGCAGCGGCGGCTGCGGGTACGGCGGGGGGAAGTAGGGCGGCTGGAAGTCGGCGGCGGGCGTGTGGCAGAGCGGCGGAGCCGAGCCGTAGGGCGCCTGGTTGAGCGAGGGCAGCTGCGGCAGGCGGGCACCGGCCGGTGCCCCGGGCAGCCCCTCAGCGCGGTCCTGCGGTGGCGAAAACAGCGGCGGTGAGGCGGGCACGGACCCCCGGCCCCAGACCCCGGCCCCCCGTCCCGTCCCGTCCCGTCCCGTCCCACTCGTGCTCGTCCCGCACTCACCATGCCCGGGTAGCTGTGCACAAGCATCGGTGCGGGCCCGCGGCAAGCCCCGGGCGGGCCGGGCCCCGGGGGTGCCCCCGTCTCCGCCCCTCTATCCCGCCGGAGCGGCGTCTCCCATCGCCCGCCCGCTCCTCTGCGCCGGCCCCGACTCCATGCACGCCAGTTATAGCGGCGGGGGCGCGCCCGCCGCCCCGGGAGCGCGCGTCAGAGCGCGGGGACGGGGACGCGCCGCCCGCTCCCGCGGGGCCCCGACGGCTCCCGACAACGGGCGCGGCGGGACGGCGGCGGGAGGCGGCGGGGCGGGGGGCGAGGGGCACCCGCCGCCCCTGGGAGCGGGGTCGGTGCTACCTCCGCTCCCCTGTCGCACGGTACAGCACACCCTCCCCCCGGTGCCACCCCGGTCCCCTGCCGCGGAGCGCCCCGGGCCGCACCGGGGAGCGAGCCCCGAGGGTCGGGAGAGCCCAAGAGTGCGGGAGGGCTGCGGGGCCGCGGGGATGCTCTACGGTTTGACTTTATTAGCCCGAGGCGGGTGCGGGGCCCCTCCGGGAGCTGCGACCTCCCGAGAGCGCGGCGGGAGCGGGGCCCGGGGCCGGTCCTGCCGGGAGAGCTCGGGGCTTCTCCCGGGGCGCTTCACCCTCCTCCCCGACGGGGAGCGGGGCGCCGCATCCCGGACTGGGGACAGCGAGAAGTGTCTGGGGTGCTCCGGGCTTGGCTCCCTGCCCGAAAAGATGGACAGGAGGACGGGCGCCGGGTGCAACAGAGCCGCGGGAGAACGGGGAGCACCGACGGGCAGCGTGCCTGCCTCTCCGCCCTCCTCCATCCCTCCCTCCGCCTCTCTGTCCCTCCCTCCGCCTCCCCAGCCCTCCCTCACTCTCTGTTTGAGCCCTCCCTCCGGGCAGGACGAGGCGGGCCCGCAACACCGGGTGACATCGGGGTCCCTGAGCGCGGCACCGGGCACCGGGCACCGGGCAGTAGCGGGGCGAGCCGGGCAGACGGGAAGGCTCCGTCAGCGGCACTGAGTGACCCCAATGACATCCCCCCTCCCCCGATATCACGGCCACGCAGGTCCCACGGCGGAGGGGTCGTGCCCATCCCCACGGGCACACGCACACACTCGCGGCTCCCGGACACCACGGTCACAGCTCCCCGCGGCCCACGGGCGCCGTGGCCGGGCTGTGGGGTGGCGTGTCCCCGCGGGTCCCCGCGGTCTCACCGTGCCACCCGCAGGGTGCCGGCCGCCCATCGCTGGGCGGGACGTTCCATTGGCAGCGCGTGTTTTCCGTGGAGCAGAGCACAAACCCTTCACCCCCGGCTGTAACACGCCGCGCTGTGTGATCGACATCAACAAACACAGCCCCACACTGCAGTTAATTTAATTCCACTCTTCCAGCCCGGAGCTACAGCTCCCTTCATTTTCATTTTTCCTCTGAATTCCCACAACTCAGACCTCTTTGATTTCCAGGTTTAATTAACAATGCTCATTAAATGAATTTTTATTCATTTCTTTTAATATTACCCTGCCACCTGTCTTTAGGAGGCATGGGCTGATCGTTTATTCTAATTTATTTCTGTTAAAGATGGCATTTAAGGGTGGGAGGAGGGATATGAAGAGGTATAGAGGGTTGATCCATTCAAATCTCTTCATCCCCCTCAAATGCTCTTCAAGGACGCTGCTCCTGGAAGTTCTGTATTTATTTTCCACCAGATCCATTTCATTTGCTAGGAAAAATTGGATTGGACATGCTGTATTTTGCAGTTATGTTCCAGTTCATTCTTAATGTCCCTCGCTCATCTAGTGCGTATAATGTAGAGTCTTTATTCCTCTGAAAGAGGTGAAACTGCAAAATCCAGGCAGGAAGGGCTGTGAGTCGGCCTGCACAGGACAGCAGGCAAACAGGAGGATGGTCCCTTGCAGCAGCTTGGAGAGAAGCTGTGTTTCCACCCAAAAATGAGACAGAGCAGAGGAAACCTGCAACGCTGACAGACAAAGGGAAGGAATGACAAAAGGCAGAGCTGTCCTGCTGCCCCTCATGGAACATGCTGGGTGAACTGGGGTCGTGGGACCACATCAGGCTGGGGCTGTAGGGCTGTGGGGGGCTGTCACCACCCCAGCACAGCCCAGCAGTGCTCAGGAAGGAGAAAAGAGACCTTGCAACAGACTCTGGGCTTTAGGGAATCCCCAGGAGCGACCCTGCCCTGGCACCTTCTCTCACCTTCTCTGGGAGCACAGTCAGCACCTCCCCAGCCCTGGGGTCCTGCTCAGAGGCACCCTCAGAGCCCTACAAGAAGCAGAATTGTCCTTGTAAGATGTCCAAGACCCACCTGAGTCCTTCACTGCCCCAGACCCTCTGTCCAGCAGCTGTCTGATGATAAGGACAAACCAAACCCCTGGGCCTCTCATAGACAGGAGGCACTCATTAAGCCACCAGTGCTGCTGATGAACAATTATTCACTTTTTGCTGTCCTGAGGTCCAGACAGGGCCCAGGACTGTCACACAGGGGGTTGCCAACACACTTTCCCAGCAGTTGCCTGGTTTTGTTACTGGTTCAACCTGGCCAGGACAATTGCTGGGGTCACCTGAGCACTGGAGGCTCAAACACAGCTCCCTGCTACCTGTTCTTTAGCATCCCTGTTTAAGGACCACAAGTCCACCTGTGCTCGTGTTTTGCTCTGCCAAACATCTTTATGTTTCCTAGCAATGGAATTGTCCTGCTGAGGACCTGAACACCCGAGCTGTCCCCTCATCCCTCAGCTGCAGGGAGCATTCGCTGTGAGTCTGGGCAAGGCCCCCACCCCTGCTACATCTCATGGCAGGAGGGAGGGGGCTGCACCGAGTTCTGGCAGAACAGCAGCCAAATAACAACCTTATGAAATATTTAATTTTATCGCCAGTGCTTTTGGGGTGAGATGAATAAATGCTGTAAGATAACGTATACCACGGTCAGGTTTGCAGCGGCATTATGACGTTTAAACTGTCAAAGGAAACAGAATGTGGAACTGCTCCTCTGGGGCCTTGTCCATTTTGTTGGAGCATAGTGGACAATGATCTTGCTCCTGGAGAGTTTGTCCCGGTGTTGGAAGTGCACTGGGGGATAAAGCACAGTTTGCTTTGGGTGTTGCTGGCTGCAATCCCACCCTGTGCTGGGATCTCAAACACTGGCAGAGAGGGGATGTTGGATGATGCCACATCCACCTCTCTGGCACCAGATCATCAGTGCCCATGGATGCCAACTGCCAGGGGCAGAACCTGTGGTTGGGCTTGCAAAGCTCGGGGTGGCTGAGGACACCCTGCAGCCTTTGAAGCCTTGGCCAGGCTGCCAGGGCACCATCTCCCTCCTGTGGGCTGAGCCAGCCGGGCGTGCTGGGACCTGTGGACTGGCACACATGGAGCCAGCGGAGATGCCCACGTGGCAGGAGGCTCCCAACAGCTCCAGTGCCCTCCCCTCCTGAAGGTGCAGTGCTCATTGTTGTTAGCACTCAGTCTTGGGGAGGCAAAACAGTCTTTTTGGGGGTGCTCTGTCCAAGAATGTTTGGAAAGTGTCCTGGGACAAGAGAGCAGTGATACTGCTCAAGGAGCTCTGCCATCTCTACTGGCATTCAGCCTGGTAATGTCCCAGAGAAATGTGGGTGTCTCCCCCTTCCACTGTCAGCTCAGGGGCTGTGACAGGCTCATGAGGAGCGGGTTTTGTTTCCTGCAAGGAAACATCAGGGTCTCTGGGAGGGTCTGGCAGGGCACAGATGGTCCTGCCCACAACTGAGGGGACTTTTACACTGAAGAGTGTGAGAATGAGGTGCAGATGCTCCTCTCCAGGCACCTGCTGGTGGCCAAACCCCACTCCCTAAGATGGGGAAGGATAAAACTGGAGGACTTCCTCGGCTCTTGGTTTGCTGCCAGGTAGCCTCTCAGGGAATTAAAGAGCAGCAACCAAAGGCCTCTGGGATAGGACTGGGCTGGTGTTGGAACTGGGGGCCCAGGCTGGATCTCTGCTCAGGTGTTGGGGCTCCAACCACTGCCCATGGGAATGAACCATGGCCAAGCCAGATCAGCTGCCCACAGCGAGCGCAGCACTGCACTGGGGATAGCAGAACATCCTCCTGGTGATACAGGTCATATCTCTCATTAGCAGTAATTAGTGGCTGTCATTAATAGCAAGCCCACACCCCTGACCAGAGGCAAGAATGTGTACAGGACAGGGAGCACTTGAAGGTAAAGGCTTTGAGGGTTTGGGTGTTTTTTTCTGACACTGCATTGTATTCCTAGATTTTCCTGCTGGTGAGTCCCTGCGGTGCAGGGATGTGTTCCTGGCAGGCTGAGCAGCCTCTCCCAGCCCAGCTCCACAAAGTTCTGCTCTTTTCCAAGGCCAGGAGGCTCATTTGCTGGTTTGGCTTGCACTGCTCTGCTGCCAGCACCTGCCTTTGTTCCAACTTGCACTGGCTGCTCAGGGCTGAGCTGAAAAGATCTAAAGATACTTTCCCTGAGCAGCAGCCTCCTCTCCAGTTGTGTAAGGCACAATAAAGCAGTGAGCCAAAAACACAGAGAATGTACCCAGAGCCAGCCCTCCTTTTGAGGCAGTTTCGTGCTTGATTTTTCCCTTGATCAGACGATTCCACAGCCCCCTCCAGTGAGTTCTGCTCAACGCCTCGGGCTGGCAGCAGAGCCGGTCCCGGCGAGGCAGCAGCTCCCAGAGAACTCCTCGGCTGACACCTGGTGGAAAAGCGGGAGCAGGGAGCGCCGCTCGGATGAGGCTCAGCAGGCTCCCTGTGCAGCTGCTCCTTCTGGGAAATACCCTCGGGATAACGCGGAGAACTGCAAGGCCGCTGCTACAATAGGTTTGCTCCACTGTGCATGTGGCCTTTCTCTTCTATAAAGCAAGATGTCCTTTGGTCTGCAGGGAATCAGCAAGGGGGAATTTACTCATTTTGGCTTTCACACCCTAAACGGAGCAGAGGCAGACTGAATCCTTCACCTTGCAAGAGTAGAACTCTCTCCCTGTACATTCCATCCTGGCAGCAAGAGGGAGCAAATAGAAAATCCCATGTATGTACTTTCTGCAGGTCTTGTGGGGCAAAACAAGTGGGGAGGGTTTTCTAGGTGTGAACTTGGGATGATGAGACCAGTGGAGGATATGAACTGGGGGATCATCCAGCATCTTCAAGTCACAAGGAGTTATCCCCAGTGCTATCATCAAAAAATACAGCTTTTCCCATTCCTGCCTTTTTTAGGATAGTTACCAATATGTGCAGGACTCAGAAAATAAGGTGAAAACCTGCAGGGCTTACTGTGACAAAACTGTGACCATATGAACGGGAGGAGCAAGCATCCTGTTAGGGCCCTGGGCAGAAAGAAATCCCATCACTGAGAAGTTTGAAAAACAAACGGACAAAATGTCTTTAATAACAAAACAAAACAGGCTGTTTTTACAGAGAAATCCTCACAAACAGGTCGAGCAAGGGCATGGTGAAATGTTCTGAGGCAGCAGCAGTGATGTGGACAGTACTGATCGTGCTGGGTGCTGCTGCATCACTCCAGTTTTGTGAAGTTTGCTCATCTAAATGGGTTTTTTTCTGTGCCCACCTGGCAGCAAAGAGCAGGTCAGAAGTGCAGAACAGACCTTGCGCAGGTGTCTGCCTTCATTCCCCACCTAGGGTGCTGCTGGCTCCTCCCTGCTCGGCCAGACACTGTTCCAGAGCTGCCATTCCATAGAGATTAGCCCACTCCGTGCCGTGGTGGGCCAGGATCACATCCCTGCACTGCCCGCTGGCTCTGGCCAGCTCCAGCAGCACGGCCTGGAAAGCAGTGACAAGCTCAGAAGCCACGGAGGCCGGGGAGACGCGGGACAGCAGCTGCGCGAGGGCCTGCGGGCAGCGCGCCTGGAGAGCGGCGTGCGGCAGCCAGGGGAACAGCGGGACGCAGGCGGCCAAGGCCTGCATTCCCAGGAACCAGAGCTCACCCATGTCAGCCCAGGCGCTCTCGTAGGTGGGACACACCGCCACGGCCAGGCCATCGCTGCTGGGGTCTGCCTGGGCCACGTGGGCCTGCGAGAGGAAGCCAATGGCAGCTCCAAAAAACTCCTTGGCAGACCGTGTTCCCTGAAGGGCTGGAAGAAAAGGAAAGGAATGTTATAATGTGTTGGAACTCAAAATGGCCCTCAGACATTTCTGGAGGTTCCGGGTCCAGGTCAGAAGCATTTGAGACCCTGGCAGGCAGCTGGAAACAGCTGTGATTTTGGGTTTGAGCCATGGAATGAGTTACCAACCTTGCAGGAAGAACAAGCAGTCACAAGTTTAGATGTTATAGTAGAAGTAGTCACAAAGTATAGGGAAGAATTTTTTAGCATTGTACAGGGGGGTTTTAACACCTGTACAGGGAGGTTTCTGTTTTGTATATGGGGATCAGAGGTTTTAAGATGGAGGGATTTGGGCCTGTCCTGTCCTCCCTCTTTCTTCTTCCTTACCTCCATGCTCTTGGTGATGTTGGCACTCACAGGCTAGTTTAGAGTAGAAAAGCACCATTTAATATAGATAATAGGCATTGGGGGAAAACTGTACCCATGTAACACGTAATGTACCATATAAAAGATAGAAAAGCACCATTTAATATAGGTAATAGGCATTGGGGAAAAACTGTACCCATGTAACACGTAATGTACCATATAAAAGACAGCAGCAGCCCTGGGCGGGGAGAGAAGAAGCAGTCGGGAGTCAGAGAGGATGTCAGGGTGTGTGTGTGCCTCTGCCTGAGCTGTGAGCAAACCACAGCAGCCCCAGAAGAAAATCTTTTAGATAACTTGCAATAAACTGCCTTGAGACTGAACAAGAGGCTGCTGAGCCTTTCTTTGGCAGCACGGCTTGGAGGAGGGATTTTTCCACCACACGGAGCCCCGAACTAGGCCTGGGTTCCATCAATAATGCAGTTTGCTCACCCAGAGAAAGGGCCTGTGGTGGGGCTGTGTGGAGCAGAATATCTTCCTGCCCTAGAAATCTCTTCATCCCAGCACATCACCCTGCTGAATGTTTCACGTATTCCTTGGTCCTGAACATTTTTGGTTTATCGCTTTTCCAACAACAAACTGGACCAGTTTCCCTTCTACTTGCATTCTCCAGCCCAACTTCCCAGCTCCTGGTCTCTGCCCATGCAGCACAGCATGGGCTTTGCCAATGGAAACTTCCTTTACCTGCTGACCCCGCGAGGACCCTGGCCATCATCAGGCCCAGAGTGGCAACATTTGCTGCCAGAACCAGGTGACGCTTCTGGGGCACCAGAAGTGGAAGAGACTTCAGCAACACATCCATCAAGGACGAAAAGGTTTTGTCACGCCTAGAGAGAAAATAAACCCTTTTTGACACGTTTCCTGAGCAGAGGCAGAAGCACCTGGGAATGTCAAAGTCAAACACAGCACCAAAAACATAGTGAATCTGAGGCTGAAAAAGGAACATCCCTTTTCAGCACAGCACGTTAATAGATCCTCAAGCTTGATGGACAAGGCACCCTTTCTTCCCACTGCCAACCCCAGAGCCAGCTCCCACAGCTCAGTTACCTGACCAGGTCTGGAGCAGTGACCACCAGGTTAAGGAAAACCCCACACATGGTCTGGAGACTCATTTCAGTGCTCGTCAGGGGTGCTGGGGCTGTGGACTCAGAGGCCAGAACCTCCCACTGCTGCAGGAAGTACTCACACAGCAGTGCTGGTGCCCCTTCGGCGATGAGGATGTCCCGGGGCCTGTCCTCTGCTG